CTGGGAGCCGGGATCGCATGATCCTGCAAAGGGACATCCGCACCCCGCCCCTGCAGTCGGAGCGGAGGTTGCAGGGCCACCGGCAGGAGGTGTGTGGGCTCAAGTGGTCCACGGACCACCAGCTCCTTGCCTCAGGAGGCAATGACAACAAGGTAGATGCCCTGGGCCCCTCATTGTCGGGCCTCGGGAATATCCTACCCGCTCGGCCAGCCCTCATCCATACAGCAGGAGTGACAAGGGTGTGCCCCGAGGGAGGACCATGATGGGTGTGAGCGGAGCCATTCATCCTCCCCTGGAGGGCTTGCCTAGGGGCCACAGCCAATGGAGGGCCTCACAGCTGCTGCCGCTCCCCATCCCCACCCTCCCAGCTGCTGGTCTGGAACCACTCGAGCTTGAGTCCCGTGCAGCAGTACACAGAGCACCTGGCAGCCGTGAAAGCCATAGCCTGGTCCCCACATCAGCATGGGCTGTTGGCATCCGGCGGCGGCACGGCCGACCGCTGCATCCGCTTCTGGAACACGCTCACAGGGCAGCCACTGCAGTGCATCGACACAGGCTCCCAGGTGTGCAACCTGGCCTGGTCCAAACACGCCAATGAGCTGGTGAGTGCCATGGTCGGGCCTCTGTGTGTGCGCGGGAAGGTGCTGGAGCAGGAGCCCTGGGCCCCAGCAAGGCCTGCCCTGGGGTCCTAGGGTGAAGCCGGGACCCTGCCACCCAGATCAATCTGGAAGTACCTGCCCCTAATCTGGGTGCCCGTGCTGCTGACCACCAGCAGAGGCTGGCTGAGCTCTGGGTACAGTGTAGCTCCCTGTCACCTTCGGCGTCAACCAGAGTTTGGGGGTAAGGGGCTGGGCAGGTCCCAGGTGTCCTTGCTGTTCAGTGGGTGCATCGGGGGAGTGGACAGCTTGCACCTGAGCCCTGGGGTCGTGGGAGGGGAGCCCAGGTTCTGACAGTGCCTTCTGCATCCCACAGGTTAGCACACATGGCTACTCACAGAACCAGATCCTGGTCTGGAAGTACCCGTCCCTGACCCAGGTGGCCAAGTTGACCGGGCACTCCTACCGAGTTCTGTACCTGGTGAGTCTGCACTGGCGGGTGCAGACCGGGTGCAGATCCAGCTGGCAGCCTCCCCACCTGGGCCTGTGGGGTGGGGGTGGGTCATCCAGGCCAGCTCCCATGTTCTGCTTTCAAACATTAATTGTGTCATCACTTTGAATCTACTTTCTTGACCTCCCCAGCTCTGTGAGGAAGGGCAGCTGTGCCCTCCTGACAATCTCCACACATTAGTTTATCTTTATGATGGAACATAATTAACCCCCCATCCAACTCCTTAGAAAATCTCTGAGGACAGTTCATCAGGTACCTGTTTGCATGGGCCTGAGGACAGGCCCTCTCCATCCCTCCTCGTGCTTTTCTTTCTTTCCAGAAGAAGTATTCCGTGCTTAAACTGTCAGATCCTTTGCTCAAGTGCACAGAGTAGAGTAGGGGCTAGAGCATCCTGTGTTTTTGGCTTTGGTGGGGGCCCGGCCCCCCTGCACCTGTCCTCCATCATTGACTCCCTTCATGGGACCAGCTGCAAGGCCCGAGAACAGTGAGGGTCTCTCCTCCTGCAGGCCATGTCCCCTGATGGAGAGGCCATCGTCACTGGTGCTGGAGACGAAACCCTGAGGTTCTGGAATGTCTTTAGCAAAACTCGTTCGACAAAGGTAAAGTGGGTCGGTATCAGCGCCAGGTGCTCCCCCATGCGCATCCCCTCAGCCTATCTGGGGGCCGTCCCCCATTGCCATCTGAGCAGCCCTGTTCAGACTCTGCTGTCACTTCCCCCGGGAATGCCTGCACCCCCTCTAACTGCTCCTGCATTGCTCTGCACCCCCAGCCAGGGTGCCAGGAAACAATGGTGCCTACTCATGCTCCTCCTCTGGCCCGAAGCCTCTGTCCCCGTCCAGCTGCGCAGGCTCAGCTTTCTCTCCTGTGTGCCCTGCAGGAATCTGTGTCTGTCCTCAACCTCTTCACCAGGATCCGGTAAACCACGGGCCCAGCCATCGGGGCAGAGGAGCACCACCTGTCATCACGTGCATGACCCTCCCTCCTGCACATGTTCCCAGAGGAAGCAGCTGGGGTGGGCGGGGAGCCGGGCCCAGAGAGACCCTGAAGATTCTCATTAAAGCCTGATTGCGAACCCTGTCAGCGGTGTTTGGGGTGGGGATGTGGTTGGGCACCAGCAGGCACGCGGGGTTCCGGCTCCCTTCACACCAGGTGGCCCCAAGGCCCCAGCTTTGACCGTCTACACTCGGATGAGAATGGACGCCTCCCTGGACCCCACCTGCTTCCCTTTGTGTCCATCGTCACTTTGTTGAGCTGCATGCTCTTCCCAGAAGCACGGGTTCACCAGTACTGCCACTGCCCAAGTCTGCGACGGAGAAACAGCTGGATGCCAAGCCAGTCAGCCAGGGGAGGGCCCAGCAGCAGGACGGTTCAGGTCAGCCCGTGGATCCACAGGACTCCTGATAGGTCTCTTGCGGCCACCTCTACTGTCCCTCTGCTGGCAGCTATCCCAGTGACTCTGCTAGGGGCCAGGCATCAGGAGCAGGCCCAGGCAGGCTGTGCACCAGAGGAGGTCATCTCGAGATGGACTTGTTCCAGGAAAACGGAAGTTGGGTCCACTTGTCATCATGAGCTTGCCCTGACCCTGCACTGTCCTTGTCACTGACAGGGACACAGCTGAGCTCTGTCACCAGCGGGACTACGGTTTCTGCGGCCTGCTGGGTGTACAGATCTAGGTGGCCTAAGGGTGCCTCACCCTCCTCCCAGGTTCCTTCCCCATTAGGCTATCCCATGTGTCCTGTCCAACCACGCCTATGACCATGGGGAAGCCAGGGAGGAGAGCGAGAGGAGGGGGCAACCACTGGTTCCCCAGAAGCTTTCCAGGTGTCCTCTGATCCTGCCCCCACCCTGTTGTCCTCTGGCCAAGCTGGGTACCAGCTCTCTTCCAGACCTGGAGAAACTGGAGGGAGAGAGGTGGGCCCAGGTGTGGCGAGAAGGCAGAGCAGGCCTGGGGCGGGGCGGAGGTCACTCTGGCCCTGCTTCTAGGTCCCCCTCATTTAGTGTTCCCCCGCAATTGGCCATGTGTGTGCATGTGTATATATGTATCTGTGACTTTTCTTCGGGATTGTTTTGTGTTTTGTAGATGGGTCCCAGAAATGTTTGAGGCTAATTAGAGAAGGGCACGGCCCACCCAACCTGCCTGGGGGTGACAGGAGTCACAGCTTTTAAAGCCTTCATTTAGGAGGGTGATCAGCTGAACCTGCTTGGATTTGGGGAAGGGTGGGACCCTGCCCCATCCAGCATCTGTGTGCCATAGCCTCAGGCAAGGACAAGGACAGTGTACATAGATTTGTGTATTTCGATTGGTCATCTTATTTTTGAGTGTTTTTTTAAGAGAAAACAGTCCTTCCCTACCACATGCTCACCCTGTGTAGCTGCCGAAGAGCCCAGGAGCTGGCTCTGTGTGTAGGACCCGCGCCTGGGAATTGAGACAACAGAGAGGAATGTGTGTCCCCGGCCTACAGGCCTGGGGGCTGCAGAGTGAGCCCTGTGTCTCGTCTAGTGGCGTATCACTGTCATTATACCGGGTATGGGCTCATGCACGGCTCGGCTGGCTGTCCATCTGGCTGGGGTGGCTGACAGCTGCAGTCTGCACATACCCAGGCCCCAGACCAGCCTGAACGTCACAAACAGGTGATGAGCAACCTGCCCTGGGTGAGCTCCCTGAGGGATGCCTGTGTGTCTGATTTCATGTTCTAATAGGGATAAGGGTGACATGCATTCACACCGTCCCTGCAGTTGGGGGGGGGGGGGGGGGGGGCTGGTCTCCTCATGCAGTGAGATGGGGGCAGGGGAGGGAGGGCTGCAGGCTGCACAGGAGCTCTCAGAGCAGGCCCTGCCGCCATCTCCACCTGACGTGACTGAGGTCAGCAGTGGGGGCATCGCCCACCCAGTGTCTGCACTTGTGCAGAGTTGAAGGGTGGGTGGGGCACGGTCTGTCAGGCACCCTTTGATTATTGAATGTGGCTTTTTGGGGAAAGGGAGTTAAGGGTGAGGCAGAGGCCAGTGCAGCGGTGACGGGACCTTGCAGCCGCGTGTGACTGCAGAGCCTGCAGGCCTTTTCCTCCTGGGGCAGATCTCTGACCCAGGCACTGGGGACAACAAAACAGACCAGATCCCAAGACCTGCCCTCATGGGGCTTCTGTTGGGTGTGCGAGGGAGGTGTGTGCCGTGTGATGGAAGAAGGAGGCTTTAGGAAAGGTCAGCTTTGGATCCAGGACTTGCTACAAAGCTGATGTTTGAGCAAGGAAGGGTTCGGACAAGAGCAGGAGACCTCTGGGCAGAGGACTTTACAGCTGTGTAAAGGCCCTGAGAGGAACGTTCCTGGAGTGTGGAGAGCAGTGAGGAGGCCCTTGTGGTACAGCAGTGAGCAGGTGGAGGGGAGGGAGGGAGGAAGTGAGGGCAGGGCGGGGCCTGGGCAGGTCTTGCAGGGCCTCGTGGTGAATGTGGAGACGTGACCACGGGTGCAGGGGCACAGAGGCCACAGAGGAGGCTATGCCAGGCTGTGATGATGTGACTGGCCTGGACCCGGTGGAGGTGGTGAAAAGAGGGGAGATTGTGGATTTTATTATTTTTTAATTGTGGTAAAATATGCATAACTTAATGTTTACCTTCTTAAACTTAACATTCCGTGGCATTTGGTGTATTTATAATGTTGTGCAAACAGCACCTCCAACTCCAGAACATTTCCATCACCCTCCCAAAAACCACGCCTCCACTCGGTCACCCTCCGCCCCCGGCAACCATGAACCCTCTGTCTCTGGATGGGCCTGTCCTGGACATTCACATAAATGGAATCACACACTGTGGCTTTGTGTCTGGCTTCTCTCACTGAGCACCTGTTTCTAAGCTCCCTCCCCACTGCGGTAGCACTTTTCATGGCTTCAGCGTGGGCATGGATGGACCACATTGTGTTTAGTTGGTGGGCATTTTGGTGGTTTCACTCGCTGGTTGTGAATCATGCTGCTATGAACATTCGTCCGCAGGTTTTTGCTCTGATGTATTTTGAAACGTGAGGACTGGATGGGGGAGCCCTGACCTTTGTTAGGACTTTCAAGCCCTGACCTTTACTAGGACTTTCAAGGGCTACCAGCTTCTGGGGGGTCTCTGTCTAAACTCAGCTAGTGAAGACAATGAATGGACTCCAGGTGAGAAGGGAGGGGGTGGGGGCTGGCAGTTCTGGCCTAAGCATCAGAAGCGCTCTCTGGCTCAGAGACCCCCATGTGGCGATGTGGGGAGGGAAGGAAGGGAGCACTGAGGCCCAGGCCACCCAGGTGTGGCCCCACCTCCTCCTGACAACCCCTCAGCGGGGCAGGAGGGAGTGGCCTGGATGGGAGCCAGGCTACCAGCCGCATTGCCAGGACACAGAGAATGGTCTTTGTTGCTGCAACAATGGCCTCACAGGCCTTCTAGGCAGGAGCACCCAAGAATCCAGAGGCAGACATGCAGACCCTGAGGCGGGAGGCTACCCAGTCCTATGTCCCCCAGGGGGCCCTCGAGGAGGACTTCCCGCCACCTCTCTACAGGTGAGTGCTCACCCTACCCCAGGCACGGCCTCTCTGGATTGGGTGATGGGATTTGTTTTGGCTTTTCCCAGTGTTTAATTCTTCAAAAAGGGCACATTGGTGCTGCCCCTCACTGGTCAGTTCCCTGCACCTCCCATCCACCTGCACCTCCCATCCCCCTGCACCTGGGTAGCCTCCCCTTCTACACACCCC